CTTGTGTGATTCTCCTGGTTGTTTTTGAACGGTTCCAAATGGTAGGAATTTCATAAATTTTAGATTGTGATTATGTTTATCTAAATGTTGATATATCAAACTTAGGTTGGGTTCAAGTTACCACATATATAAGGTTTTGAGTTTTTCAGGTAATGTCACAGGAAAAGGAGAGCAAAAAAGCTCTCCCGTTCACTGTTGACCGTACAGTATTTTGTGAAGTTAATCTAAAACAGGTTAGTCACTTTTTGGCATTGCACGGGAAAATTTATGGATATCCACGTGCATTTTTGTTAAACAATCTGGCTGTAGAGGCATTACAAATACGTTTGTTTAAGCACGTGGATATCCTAGAAGTTGTGTTGTTAATAATTTCTTTCCATTACGTAAAATCATGATAATTAAATAGTGGTATAGGAAAAATAAAAAAGACCGGAGGTTGTAACAATGCATAAGGATCACTATTATGGAATAGGAAATAATAGACAAAGCAGTAAAAGAACTCTTACATAAACTGTTATAAAATGCCCGACGTAAATACTTAAGTGTTACAATACTGACATATAACAAACACAGGGCAAAAACAGAGATTGTAAGAAATCTTAGTAAAACCATACATACACCTATACACCTTTTATAGCAAATATAGCTGTCTTTAAACACTTCTAGTTCATATATTATCTGAATATGTTGGATATAAGATTAGAGATGATATCATTGTGACACGATATCTAAACTGACCGTTTGAGGCAGAAATTGTGAACTCTTCTAAATAAATAGGCATACAGTAAGATGGCGAAAGAGGTAGGATTGGATACTTTATATAATCTTGAATGTTGGAATGATTACATATAACTATCAAACACTACATTTGTAGTATTCTGAAATGCTTTCAATTTGTTATCAGAGTAGTCTCAAACAGGTTCTAGTCCTTTCATGTCAGAAAACATGCACATAAGGTAAGTCTTGTTTTCAAATTCATTGAAAATTGAAACAGGGTGGATGGTATTAAATATACTGTAAACTTAAAGAAGGTTAGAGTATATGCAGTGATTTCTTTTACATATTTTAGACTATGATTCTGATGAATAAGTATTGTTGTGAGAAAAGGTGTTTTTTCAAGATTGTTCTATTCAAATAAATGTTAGTAAAGATTGCACTTTGTAACTATACCTGTTTTACAAACCACGCCTCTTTAGGGGGAGAAATATAATATTCATAGAAATTTTGTTTTGTTAACATACTGGTTCCTAGATATGATCTCTATGTTTCATATCAACTTGTGAATTTTTCCAGTATAAATAGACATGGATAGAAGCCAAATTTGATTCTGAGTAAAACCAAAAGTGAAGGAGAGGATAGTACAGAATTTTAGTATAACTCTTAGAAGTTCAATACATATAAATCTTGAAAATATGCCGTACAGCCCTATATTTTTACCTTTGAAAACATAAGTGCACATGAACCTTCAATTCTAGAAAATATTTTTTAAGAAATTTCTTAGTAAAAGCGGCACAATTTTAGCCGTAAAAAGAAATTGCATTGTCTATATTTACAGAAGTGCAACCTTTAGCGGGAAATTGAAGGAGAACATAAAGAGACAAACAACACGAAGCAGACATAAACTCAAATGAAGGAAAGCTTACGATTTAATATCAATATTAACTGTTACTTTATGAACATAAACTGAAATTCGAAACAATAATATATTGATCGTTTTTAAAATAGGTCAACAATTGCACAGGAAGTACAACAACTGTATAGATTTTACTTTTAAAAAAATTATGCACTTATATTACCATAATATATAGCGAATTCATTCAGTTATATTTCATAAAATAAAAGAGTTTAATGGACTATTTTTTTGTTGTTGTCGATTTTCAGTAAAAGTTCAACTTGTTCAACGAGCAAAAGTTGTTTGCAACATTTTACCAAAATCTGTGACATGGTCCTTTTAATGTAATTTGACCTTAAGTTCGTTAGCCAACTGATATCTCTTTATTATTTCCAGACGATCATTATTTTTCAGCTGCACTTTCGATCAAGTGACGATGAGAGTCAAAGTAAACGCGCTCTATTTTACACATTCAGAGCAACGATATACGAAAAGTTCACATAAATACCAGCATGTTGTGTTTTTATACAACGCGACCAAGTACACACAACGCACCTTCAGAGTTATATTTACTCGTTATTTGATATAATTGTATTTCGAGTTATTTCAGGTAAAGGGGATCATGTATTGTAAAGTGATATAGAGGCTACCCAGCGTAGCCAATGTACACCTCTTCTAAAAGTAACTTTTTCTTCGTTAATTTAATAAGTGTTTTTCTTCGTTAATTTAATGAGTGTTTTTCTTCTGTTGTATTCATCTGATTGGTTGTTTGGTCGACTGCTTTCTGCTGATATTCATATAAGGGGCGGTTTATACGGTATAAACATAAAACCAAAACCAAAACAGTGAGACGACTGTGTTACCGTCCAATTGCCACTAATAATAATGAAAGTAGCAACATGCAATTAATACATTTTGAATAAAATTAGATGTGAATGTACTTCAATGAGACAGCAGTCCAACACATAGATTAGAACAATTGGTAGAAAAAAAACTTATGTTTTGAATAATTAAATAATAAATTTAAAGAAAAATTTACACACTCGCCTAGAGTGTTGGCAATCATACATTTGATCGTAGCCCTTACGATCAAATGTATGATCGCCAACACTCTAGGCGAGTGTGTAAATTTTTATGTAAATTTATTGTTTAATTATTCAATCATAAGTTTGTTTCTACCCCGGGTTGTAAATTGCCGTAGCCGTATTTGGCGCAACTTTTCGGAATTTTCGATTTAAATGGTCTCAAACTTCGTATTCGATTTTTTATAGCTGCGTAGATGATATTTTTGGCAATTTGCGGACCATAGAACTACCTATTTCAAAACGTTTGGAATTGCGACCTAGGTTCAGGTTGCACTTATTTCCCAATTTTCATTTCATTTATCACCCGTGCATAGCTTGTCAATGTTTACAGTTAGTTTCGTTAGATATTTTTCTATGATATGACGTACCTATTTATGTTTGAATATTCATTTCCTTGACACTATTGATTAACTATTCCCTTTTTGGCCTACTTTGTTCAGCCATTTTGAATCTCGTCGTGACGTCATACAAATCAAGAAAAGATAACTCTAATATCCTCGATCTCCTATGTTGGAGGTAAAGAGCGCCTACAAAATCGGAAAACACGTGTTGGTTTGTTTACGTATCACTTATCGGAATTCGCGGTTTTTTTTGCGGGCTTTGTGCACTAATCAACACGACATTTTTAAATTGCTTGGAAGAGTTACTATTTACTTTTGAATAAATGATTTATAAAACGTTCTTTCATTCAAATAGTCCTGAAATAAAATAAAAGGCAATGTAAATAAACGAACACATGTTTTACTATTAGAGTTATCTTTTCTTGGTTTGAATGACGTCACGACGAGATTTGAAATAGCTGAACAAAATAGAAAAAAATCCGTAGCTCTATGATCCGCAAATTGTCAAAAAAATTCAAAAGGACCTTTGAGCTACGGTTCCGCAGCAGCTATAGTTATCCATGTTTGTGTTTTAGCCCTATTTGTAAGCGTCAGTCATTTTGTTTATACAAACATTTATTATCTTCATACGTTTCTACAGAAATTGTAAATATAAACATATTATAGTGTGTTCGTACTATTTGACTTCTTCCTATATACAGATATAATATTAATAATTGAATTACAGCGTTTAAATTCTTCATAGATAATTAATGTAAAAATCTAGAATTTTGTTTTTTTGGTTTTGACATACCGCGCCCAAATCCCTCTGAAAAAATATGGTAAACAAGTATACAAAACGTGAGTATCTTGAAAGGAAAATACATGTATATGACCTTAAACTATGAACAACATCAAGAATTAAGTCGTGCTCATTTAGGAAAAAAAATAGAAGAAAAGAAACCGTTCATTCAACACTCAATCAGAAGAAGAACATCAGTTTACTGGATTTAGTTGGTTGAGGATTCATTGATCAAAGGTTGTCGGTTATGCATTTTCGAGCTCATTCAAAACTACGATGTATCATGAACACACGAGTGTATAACCTTTTAAAGAAGGCCGGAGTTGCAGGTGCCTTATAATTGCTTCACGACAATGTAATTTATCAAATAAACAAAGCCTCTAGTAATATGGTTTGGAAAATATCATTATTTGGAATGCTTGACTTAACAACTTGGAATTTGAGAAAATATTATGATTCCACATAACCCCGTCTTTTCACTGGATACTAAAACTTCACAAAAATTCTTATAAAAAAACGGTATATATCCTGGTCGTCTAGATGTGTCTAAATTTCTTACTATTAATCTTCCTACAGAAAAAAAGATTGGCTTCATCAATATTGAAATGATGTATACTCTCCCAGTGGTTGGAATCAGATGTAGATTCTAAGAAGTTCTTAAGATATTTTCAATATCTTCAATACTTTAAAACATTTAGTTTTTATTGTTTTACTATTCCCCGTGCGTAATTGAAAAAAAAATCACTACATCTTCTCCTCATTTTTCTTTACTTTTATACCACAATGTAGTTTGTACAATTAATTGCTTTCTATTCAGCGTTTCAGAAGCGTATGTATTCGCGACATATTTCTAAAAGTTTGCAGAAAAACAATGTCATTGGTTAACAATGTCATAAACGAAATATTTTTCACCAACTGTGCGGATATTTAAAATTTGAGTACGATCAATGAAATAACCCCAAGACCTTAAAATTCTAGATCGGCCCCTTTCCTTCACATGCGTTTAAAATCCATATTTGTCCATTCCACTTGAATATCCTTACTATCATGATTTTTTTCTTAAATACTATCTGAAATTCAAGGAAGTCAAAATATTCTTTTTGTATTAACATTTTTATTTTACAGTCAAATGTCAATACAATGTACAAACAGCCGTTTGTAATTCAGTAATGAGACGAACAATAATTATGAGACTTTTATTCTCCTTCTTAAATATCATACGCATCATTCAACTCAGTAGCATAACAACCAAGAGCACAACCCTGAGACAGGCAGCTTATACGGCTATTTATAGGGGCACACTCTTGAAACCTCGGTTTTATGGAAGTAAAAGAAAGTAATTCTTGTTGGCAGTTCGTAAGTTGAGAGGTCAGGTTGGTAACTTTGTTGTTACACGTACTCAGTTGTTCAAAATATGTTTGACTTTGTTGCAGGGCAGTTGTACAGTTATCGAGCTGCTGCTGAATTGCTTGGTTTTCCACAGTCAATCGAAGTACTTCTTGTTGATCGGCTTCACAAGATGAACCTAAAATACGTAGTATGTTTTATATATCGAACAAAATATATTTTATGAAAAACATGGATTAATATAAGTAGTAAAGTTTTGAAATAATTATGATTGAAATAAGAAAAGATAAAGTCATATCAAATATAAGGCTGGAAGACTACTGTTTCAAAGCGTTTTGTTTTAATTGTTTAAAAATAATATGTGTCCAGATATCTGGGGATAAACTTTTAAGCTTCAGAGAAATGTTGTTATTAACTACAAATGAGCTTAATACAAAAACACAAAAAGAATATTACAAATCAAGGAAAAATTGTTAAAGTATAAATCCAGGAATAGACTCTAGTTTACACGTATTTGACTACTCGATCAACCCAGTAGCCCATAATTTGGATATATATATATATATATATATGTTTTATTATAATTTACCATGTGACCAATTTCATATCAAGTTTTGCAAAGGAGAATGTTTACGATAGGATTAACTTGGCTAAAAGATGGAACTTTTTAATATCAAATGTGAAAACCTATAATAAGTATCTTAAATATGCAAATTTTAATAAAGTAGACCCTTTTCTATCCACTGTTTGCTTTAACCATTTGGACGGCTTCAAAAGTATTCTATTTTACATGACTAAAGCACCATATGGGTAAGGTAAGTATCACAACTAAACCCCAGGGTAGCCCTTGCATGCGACCAATGACGTTTCAAGCAAAAATGTTTATAACTTAGCCAAAACGTTAGGCAAAATTATGACTTTTTCATATCAGTGCACAATTGTGACGTCAAAAAGACATAAACAGTGTTCTTATGCGTCATAACTTGTTGATCTTGTATTTGTGAGATATTTTTACATGTTTTGATATTGAACTACTTTTACTGTTACAAAACTTGTCATAATTTCTAGTATTATCTGATGCTTTTGCCAATTCATTAGATATCTATAATCAAGGTAAAGCAACTTGGTACTTACAAAATTGCTAACTGAAGGTTGTTATAGTGACGGTAACTAATCAAATGCTTGACTATATCAACAAATGGAACGAAAGGTAAACAACTGTTATAGTCCTAACTTGGTACATGCATTTTCCAATTAAAAATGGTGGGTTAAACCTGGTTTTACAAGCTAAACCTTTATTGACATAATGATAACTTACTTTTGTGACATCTTTTCACTGAAATTAATCTTATGTTTATCAATTTAATGACAATCCATATGCCAAGTTGGTCGACAAATTATCTCGTAGTAAACTATGAACCTTAGAAAGTAGTGGTAAAAGGGGATTTCTTTAATCTTTCATACAAAATTATCATCAAAAAGAACGTGTACTTTAACATGTATATCTAACATTATATGTTGTAAATGATTTAATTCCCTTTCTGTACGTCTTTTCTGCGCTTCGAACGCATGAAATTTATAACGTCACGTTTTCATTTTTTGTTCTTGATCCACGCCTAAATGTATACTTAACAAGGCAATACGTTTAGAATGCTATAATTGTGGTCAAGCGCAATAACTGTTCGGCTTGATGTGTTAAGACTTTTTTAAAAGAGCAAATAGATATGTATCTAACTGTGTATTAATCTTCATAACTGTTACTGTTACAAAAGTTTAGAAAGAAATTATAAAAAAGGTCAAAAGTTTATTAAAAATGGACTTTCACTATATACTTCATCTTTTTTAGGTAGATAATAAAACCTATTAAATAGCAATAGCACTATTAATTAACTGTATGACTACAAAAACATAAACTGACAACCTATATCAAATAAAAAAAATAAGAGAATATGTAGATAGTGTGAAAAGACTTCTCTCTCTCAAAAGATTTTTTTTTTTTATTTCTTTCACAGATAAATCAGATGTTTCACGAAATTTTGAATATTTATGAAAATATATGAAATTGCTTTGTGAGAAAAACGCTTAACTATACACTTAAAATTAAAACAAAAAAATTTTTCAGAAGTTTTTCTTTTTAATAATAAATGAACATATCAAAAACTAACTTTCAATGGCTGGAACAAATATCATTCCCAAAAGAACTGCAATGATACCAATAAGTGACTTCATCGTAGAAGCTGAAGCTGGATCAATAAACACGGTTGTTAGGAATAAAGTGTCCAGAATACCAACTGACTGCAGTATATATAGCGGATATCATATTGTACATGACGTATTGAGGTAGAAACATTTTATAATAATTTACTTCGCGACCAATCAGACAATTACAAGTTTTTCATATTGACAGAGCTTGTAAATCTTATATGTTGTTGAGTTAAAGAGGATTTCAGATTTTTGTTCAATCTTCATTCAAATGAAACACTACTGTTTATCTCATAACATATGTGACATATGTTTGCACAACGTAACCAAGTAAATCGATTGAGAAGTAAAATAGAAAATTTTTTGTAACATAAATAAAGTATACTCATTTTTATCAATACTTGGTTGAAAAAGTGATGTTCATTATTGAATGTGACAAATAAACACGTAACTGATATTAAAGGAAACAACCAATGTAACCATACAATTTTTATCTGTAAATGGAAACGTAAGATTATCCGGTTTAACACATTATCCAAAAAAGGAAAATATGGTATGATTGTCAATGAGACAATTTTCCGTGAAAGATTCCGTGTGGTTTACTTCGCTTAGAAAGATCAAGGGTAAATACGACATCTTGACGAAAAATGTTTTTCAAAATATGCTATTCTTCAACTGTTTCCGTTCTTGTACATCCTTGGCTTTCAAATATTCGGCTTTGAAAGTTCCTGGTTAAGGTAAATCATGAAAAGCGCTTCGGAGGCATACAATTTATAACGTGTTGTTTTCATTTTTTACAGCAATGTGTCGATACCTCTGCTAGTGGACTATCAGTCCCCGAGGGTATCATCAGCCAAGTAGTCAGTACTTTGGTACTGACATGGTTTATAACAAACCTTTCTAAAATTGTCCGTTAATAAATTTCGAAATTATTAGAAACTAAGGGTTCAACTCTCTCAGTCAAAGTTGACCTTAGATGGATTTGGCTAATTTTAATTACACATGTATGTCCTTTTTGGTAATATAGCTCTTCAACTGTTTCGGTTCTTGTACGTCCTTGGCTTTAAAATAATCGGCTTTGAGCGTTCCTGGTGAAGGTTAATCCAGAAAAGCGCTTCGGATGCATACAATTTATAACGTGTTGTTTTCATTTTTTATTGCCATCTTGTCTAGATCTGATGTATACAATTATAAGCCTAGTATATTTGACAAGTGTTGTTTTCATTTGTTTCTTTATAATCAACGCAATAGTTATAGTCATATTTCTTCTTTAGAAAAAGGAAGACAAGATGTTCTCTTGATTTTAAATGTTTGATCCTATTTTGAATCAGATATTGATTTTGTATACATTGTATATCCTCTTTTGCCATGGCATTGTCAGTTTTGAGTTTGAATATGTCATTAGTATATTTTGCCTCTCTTTTAAAACGATTCCAGAGATACATTAGTATATGATGTCTCAGCAGTATAAAAACAAACAAAAACAAAAACATAAGAAAGCCTAAAAGCACAAACAACTTATATAAAAATAAATAAATACTGAAAACCAACGAAACACGGTATAAGTTTGACAATAGTTAACTTTATTATTATTTAATAATAGCAATCCTTATGTATAAGAAGACAGATTTATAGATTTTATAAGTTTATTGCTATAGACCTTTTCAACAACTCTCGAAACGGACTATTGACAACTACAGTTTACAGGAGAAATAGAGGGGTCGTATCAAAGATGAAAAAGCATTCAGGTACATGTATAACATGCAAGTTACATATACGTACATATTGGATTTGAACGGTATGATTTTGAAAACGAACAGATATTGAACAAATATAGCTATTGTGGATTTTCTGTGTTTTTTTCTTTTCTTTCATATACTTATTATATGTAAACATTTCTCTTTCAATTCTATAAATCCAAAAAAAAAAATCAGCAATCTATATTCACATCCAAATCCATTGCTTCTTCGGTAATATGATTATTAATATTTAGTGATACGAGTTTTCCATGGAAGTCCGCACCGCTTGCCAATAGCCATTAACCAGTTTTTTGGAATGTTATTTTATGACTCTACATTTTATCATACCCATAGTAATTTAGCTACAGAGAGGACATTGTAACAGGACTATCTGTCCTTCCGTAACGCGTCCAAAACACACTTGTGGACATCGTAGAGGTTTCGTTTCTTAAAAGATCTTCACTATACTTGTTGTACAAATTGAATATAATTGACTGTTTTAAGTTGTTTCTTTTTTATTGATATATTTTCTCTGTTCCCGGGCAAAACCTTTATTAGAAAGACGTCTAGTGTCTTGTCAGAAGTTAGAATTTGGTTACCCTGTCGGAGCATTTGTGTTGATCACAGTTTAACGGAGTCAGTTTTTTTCGCATAAAGCTTTGGTTTTCTTTGAGAAAATTACCCTTTTCTCTTGTCCCTGGATTTGTTTAATTTTGTTTCTTGATTTTCCCTTTTGTTGATCTAAGCTTCGGTTGTCTACTCTTATCTAGTTTTACTTCGTGTCCCAATGATTATGTTCTTTTTTATTTCACCTCTGACCAAACATTTTGGGATGTTTTGGATCCAATTATATCAGTAAAACCCCCGCCGCATATGTTATGCGCCTGTTCTAACCCCGGAATATGTTGGTCTATGGTATATTCTTCTATCGAAATAATTCTCATTTTGCAATACTTTGCTGCGGCATTGGATTTGATCACCTTTTTTGTCGGTGCCGATCAGATCTCGCTGCTTGGTAATGATTACCCGACATTATTGAAGATCACGATTTAACAATGAATGCTTTTTTTATGTGTTGCATTTTGTGATTGTATGCTTTAGTTTTGTCGGGTCCATTGTCCGTGTCTGCTTTTCTCAATATTGTCAAAGTCTGTTTTGTTTTGGAATTAAAAACAAAATATAACCAAAATATGAAATATGATTTTCGCTTTATCTAAATGTTTTGTACAATTTGTCAGTGAGTACAGATTTAAATTGAACATAGCATGAAGTGAATTAAAAAAAACTACAAAGTGTAAAGTACGTTACGAAGGAATCTTCGGCCAAGTATAAAGGACTTTGTATAGACATGTGCCGCCCTTGTCAATAGACATAACACAATTGCCTGTTTAAATATGTACTACTTCTTTTTTTAATTTTGCGAGTTTAAAATAGCTTGAATCTCATTTTCTAAAAATGTTGAATAGAATATTAAAGATATCCCTTTTAATCATTCATGAGGGTCTGGATGGGGGTCCCTCAATTCTCTTACTTTTTAAGCCATTTTTCTCTATTCTTTTTTTTTAATTTGACCATTGTTCTCTATTCTTTATAATTTAGCACCCCATTGTTCTCTATTCTTCCTTTATTTTTTGTTTGCCCATTTTTTTCTATTCTCTATTTTCTTTGTCCATGATTCTGTAGTATTGGTCCATTTATGTCTAATCTATAAACCCTATTCCGACCCTCATTCATAACTTATTCAAAACTAAATTAAAAGAATTTAAATCAGTAAATGGTTTACAACCAAAACAAGAAAAATATCGTTATGGTAAATACATAAAGGGGGGGGGGGGGGGGGGGTTCCTTTAAATTCAGTAACTGGTAACCATTGTATAAAACCATTACAACTTTGAGACGACCAATTACATCTTACCTGTTGTAGTCGTTGTCAACTGTAGGTTAATAGGTAGTTTGCGCCAAAGACTGAACAAGAGGTTGACGGGAGTAAAATCAGTTGCATTTTCACTGAAAAGGGCCTGATACATACATATTCAAATAAAAAAAAAACATTGGTAAAGTATTTAACCTCCTAAACCATTTGAGACAGCACTTCCATGGAATACATAATGATGACTTTACCAGAGACATGTAAAATCTAAAAAGAATAAGTGCTAAATAGAGCAATATATTAAGGTATCGAACCACTAACTCTGGCCCGGTCAGATCAGAATGAACACAAGGACATATTTCTAACACATAGCTGTAACTGTGTATATAAATGTATAATATTGGTTATATTGTTATCAAATTGTAGCTTAAGAACTTGGGATAATTATTAAATCCTTGTGAACAGATTTGTTTGAATGATAATTCAACAAAAATAAATGAAATTGGAAAAGGAGGGTTGATTGTTCCTGTTGCTCAGATCAGAAGTATCTTTGAATTTATTCCGATTTTTTTATCCTGTACATTCTAATTTGCAAGTAACGGTATGTTTATTGTGTTTTAACATACGGTATAGTTTTGACAGGAAATACCTGTCACTTTCTTTAAACCTAATACAAGATAGCTATGAATGCTTGAAATTGCTGATTTAACACAGAAGACAATGGGGCTATACATAGGTACGTGTATTCATATTAATGAAAATCTTGTAAAATAAATGTTTAAGATAGTATACCCATGTGTTGTTAGTTATCATGTTAAATCAATTTCTATTACGAACAAATTATATTGGTGTCAAATTACCGCAGTCACATCGGTACAATAACGTATTTGACCTTTTCAGTCATAGAGCATGCATGCAGTTAGAATTTATTTCAAATGATCAGTATTTTGGACTGAAAGTAATGAAACATGATTAATATGACTGATTTAGAGTAATCATATAGCTTTTCGTAAAATTATCATGTGAGTTTTCAATTGTTATTAGGTTTCTTATTGCATCATTTTCTGATTTTGGATATTGATGTATATAAAATTGAGAATGGAAATGGGGATTATGTCAAAGAGACAACAACCCGACCAACGAGCAGATAACAGCCGAAGGCCACCAATGGGTCTTCAACGCAGCGAGAAAATCCGGCACCCGGAGGCGGTCCTCAGCCGGCCCCTAAATAAAAATGTATACTAGTTCAGTGAAAATGGTCCTCATACTAAACTCCAAAATATATAAAATTAAAAAAACAAACAAGACTAACAAAGGCAGATTTACATTTCCAGTGTAGCATGTTTAGCAAGTTGTCTAGCTGGGAGATATATACTTATTTATTGTTTATTCACGTGTTTACACATACGTATGGTTTTAGATAATTCAATAAAAATGGGGACGGAATTCCCAATTACATTTCATGTTTGGACTTCTATATTTTTATTAAATGAACA